TCTAATTTCAATTGTGACTATATAAAAGATCTTGTAGAGATCTATTACTATGTAGTATGCACATAATTTTAAATTATTGTATAATTATAATTAAAATTAGGAGAAATATATTAAATATATATTAATTTTGATTTAAATTTAAAACTTACATATTTCTCTAGGGGCGCCAGTAAAGATTATTTTCTAAATTTTATAATTGTGAATAGTGGGGTCGTGCACAACAATATATTTCATTCAATAATAAAGTTTTGGCTATTATACTATACTCTGATGCAACTACACTTGATCGGTTAGAGAAAAGTTCACGGCATCCTATATTTATTAGCTTGGAAAATATTTCAACAAAAATTCGTAATAAAGCTGAGGCAAAAGCACTTGTTGGTCTTATACCAGTACTGCAAGGAACAAAGGAAGAAAGACAAACATTACAATTTAGACAGCTAATTCGATTGACCTTTCACAAATGTATTAATACATTAATTGAGCCATTATATTTACAACATCGTTCTGGAGTATTATTAAAAATTAACAATTATAGTTTAAAGTGTAATATGATGTTAGCCTGTGTTATTGGAGATTGGCCCGAAAACTGTAAATCGTGTTTAACTTATAGTGGAACAAGTTGTGCGCGTTGTTGCTACACTTGTCTTGTAAAAAAAGATGAACTAAATGCTATTAAATTATCTGCTAATCGCAAAATAACTCGAACAGAAAATCAAATGAGACAAATTATTGCAATGGAACAAAGCAAAGAGTACTTATTACATGAAGAAATAAATAGTTTTTGGAATTATCCATAATATAATTTTTATATTTTGTTTGTCTACATGTGAAATATCTTTGTACAATTTTATATTTATAATTTATAATTTATATTTTATTGTTATAGAAATTTTAATATTTATATGGCAACAGTTCCTGAACGAATGCACTATTTAGACCTTGGACTCTTTTCGTATATAGTTAAATTTACACGAGATCTCTTGAAAGCTCGTGGAGAAAATACTCTTATTAATAAAATGGATCAAAGACTTGGAATAATACCACACTATCCAGGACTAAAAATTTTCAATACTGGACTTGCAGATCTTGCATTATTTATGGTATTAGAATATAGGCAAATGATGAAAGTTATGCCTTTTGTTCTTGAAGGGCTTTTTGCAAAAAATGAAAATGAATTGCTTGTTCAAAT